ATTAGAACCAACCAACCAAGGACGGTCTACGGAAGGAAATTGCCGGTGAAGCACGGAATGAAATACGAAGCGTTAGAGGAAAAGTCCTCGGGATTCCAAAAGAAGCAAATAACGACGGCGGAAGAGCAGAATATGGTGAGAGCTTTCCATTTATTTAAAAAAAAATATCAAAATTACACTAAATACATGTCAGGGTTGAAAAGAATATTTTCGAACCTGGAAGTGTGTATGTATCACCAATATCCATTTGATAACGGTGATGCATACATGCGGGGCTTATTGTGAGTGAAAGTAACCTCGGAATGGGTGTGACTCTCCAGACATTCTGAAATGGGTTGCTGGATCTGCAATAGAGCTATCACCTTCTAACTCCCGGACTAAAGCTGTCTACAATGACCATAAATGCGACATTGTAGAGACAGTTCTTCCATAATACCACTGCCGGCCAGTGGGGGTTAGAGGGAATACACACACACACACACACACACACACACACACACACACACACACACACACACACACATACACACACACACACACACACACACACACACACACACACACACACACACACACACACACACACACACACACACACACACACACACACACACACACACACACACTCACAGACACACACACACAAACACACACACAAACACACACACACACACACACACACACACACACACACACACACACACACACACACACACACACACACACACACACACACACACACACACACACACACACACACACACAAATCGACACAGTAGGTGGATGCCAATGGCAACCGGGAGATTCCGTTAAGGATTCCTCAAGTACAAGAGCAAGAAGGGGATGAAGGACATACAGCAGCTACACCGGATGATGATTCAGAAGTTAATCCTGATGCAGACACTGAGAAATTCGCAGATGATTTCTCTTTGACCGAGGAATCCGATGATCAATAAAACCAGGAGGAAGGAGCCATGGCATTCCCACCACAATTTGAAAGGGGTAACTTCCAAAGCAGGACGACTTCAAGAAATAGTGGTTGAGAGTGCAGGAAACCAGGTTGGTTCAAAGATTTCATTTCGTCATATGGAACATTTTCTGCTATAGACCATTCTCCTAAGGTTCCTGTGTCCTATAAAGACATTAATGACCATCCAAATCGAGCAAGCTGGCCTAAAGCGGTAGACGAGGAACTGAGTGCGTTGGATAAGAAGCGGACCAGGGTTTGGCGCAGCAACCAAAATCGGTTGTACCCGTGCCATGTAAATGGATATTCATGTTGAAGACGGACGCTGATGGAAATCCAATCCGTTACAAGACAAGGCTTGTTTTGGCCAAACTGAACACAAAGGTCACTTTTGGCCAAACCGAACACAATCCGGACAGTTCTGGCTATTCGAGATATCTTTTCAAAATAAGTTCAAATAACTGGCAACCCTGTTGCGTGTTTTGTGTAATTGGCTTAATATTATAAATTAATTACTCATAAAGAACCATTTTTCGATTTCATATTGGTAAATAATGCCAAAAATACCGGTTAAAACTGTATTTTGGTTATTATTCTTGAAAATTTTGACGTTTTTAAAAAAATAATGTTTATTCTATTGGTCTATAATTCCATTAATTTCGAGTTATGGATAGTGGACTGTACTAGTTTTCTCCAAATCAAAACAAATTTTAAATTACTTTTAAAGGCAGAAGTGAAAGGCTTAATTGTCGCTACCAACCACTCATGATAGGAATATTTTTTTTCCAAATCAATTAATTTCGTCGTTTTTGTAAGTCCATGATCTTGATGCGTCAATCAAGGCATCACAATGTCAGCTTCAAACGAAATAATCGATGTGACGAAGATACCGTGCCGATTCAAATTTCGGACACTTAAACTCGAATTTCGGACACTTTTAAAAGTTGATTATCTCGGTCGAATATGATCCACATGTCTTGTAAATTTTAAATTTTTTTGACTAGTGCCCTCCACGATCATCTAACATTATTACTTTGTTTCTAACTGGATGTAATATTTAATTAAAAATGAAAGTGTCCGAAATTTGAATCGTCCGAAATTTGAATCGGAACGGTACTGCTAGCGCTTTTTTTTCGGTTGAAGTCGAGCAGCTTCGCAGCATTCTAGCTCCACAGTTGGCGTCAACAAACAGATTTTTAATCGTTTGTCGTTCTTTCTTTCTTGCTTCGATGAAGCGGACAAGTGAAAAAGCGCTCAACTTTGATCTGTTCGTCTTCCATGAGGCATATCAACCAAGGTTTCACGACGCAAAATGAAAGTATATATTTAAAGTTTTTCTTGCATGAAAGCACATGAAGGTTACATGTAATATGATTAATTTATCTTCCATCTACATATTTACCTAAAAAAATTAATGATTTGATTGACAGAGCAGGTAACAGAATGTCGGTAAAAGGAATTGAAAGCCAAAGTGAGGCTTCGGTTCGACTCGAAAATTGACGCTACTTTCATTGAAAGGGGTGAGCAAAGCAAAGACGAGAAAATCCACAGTGGGCCTTTTTTCTAAGCGTGCTTGTTTTTCATATTCGCTTCACGTTAGTTAGGTGATATAGAAATGATGCATGAAAGAAAACAAAACTCAAAAGTTCATTTTAGACCTTCGAAAATATAGAGCCCTTGTGCCAATAGCGACTTAGAATTATAAATTGATTCGATTCTTCGAAAGTATTGAGTATGACATTGAGCCGAATTAAACATGCAGGCCTACTCTGCAAGTCGTGTGACTCTCTATCACTAGTGAAGTGGCTAAAGTCATGTCGTGTGAGGTGACTCACTAGGTGACGGTGAGTGTTTACCTTCACAATTGCGCCAATTGAAGAGCAGGAGTGACCCCAGCGGAATCCAGAATAACTCCGGATTACGAACCATTTTATGGACTAACATTTTCTTTGACGGATTAAAAAAACCAGACATGATGCAATTGGTTGCGCAGCGAATGATCAACAAATTATATTTTAACAGCTAACTGAACTTTGAAAACAGTTCAAATCATTACGTTGGATGCGTAAGGATTAAAGATCCTGTACTAAGAAAAACCTCTGGAAACAATATGGAAAGATTTTGTGAATTGGGAATTTTATTTTCAAAATTCTAAGATTGTAATGTCAAGCCCACACAAAGTTCCAGGATTTCAAAAACATAAAATTATTTAAAATACCGTGAACTTTGTTTTGTCAGGTAATCAGGAGCATATATTAGTCCTGCCGATTCCAGGACTTTAGAAACTGCACGCTGAAAGTTTCTTTGTCTCTCCTTACCGCACTGGAAGATCATCAACACCCTCTGTACTGCTCGTTCAACTTCCCCACAAATCTCAATGCGGAATGCAATGACCAGCTTATCACGTTCAATTCACCTCATTCCTCGAGATAATTGCGCTCACGCGCGTCAGTTGATGTGTAGGCATTGGTGGCAATCACGCGGTAAAATACCATTTCCAGTTTACAGCAGCATCACCGGCGAGAGAAAGACAGCGATAATATAATTATGCAATTTTCAGCTAGATTAAGTAATCCGGTAAACACCAACCGGTTTGGAATAGCTAAGTAGATTAAGATTACGGAATCGAAATTCGAAGCGGTTGTTCCTAAGTATAAGTAGGGTGTGGGTAGCGGCCGTAGGAGATTATTGGTCTCCCGCACACGCCTCGTGTATTTATCTAATATTTGCCTTACAGCCTAAGCGGATCAATGCGTTAAGCAAATAGTCAATTGACGGTAGATTAAAATTCCTGTGCTATTATAATTACGTGTCTGTTACTGTTACCATATAATCCTCCTATGTGTGTGCGCTATTGTGTAGTTCGATGGAAGCCCCCTTCATAATCACCACCCACGCGCTGGTAGCCTGACCCATACAATCTTGTGGTCCGGCATCAGATTGCCGTCATGAGTGGGGAATACGAGATTGCCTTGTATGTCCTCTCAATTTCACTTCGATCGGAGGCTAGATTACTGTCTAACTGTTAATACTGTTTTCAAATTACATCGTTGCATTTATGACGCTGCATACAATGGTAAACACGTGCTAATCCTAGTAAATGAGATGCTAATCATCTGTGTGTCGCTAAAACAATGTTTCACAAGCTAAGCAGGATCGTTTTCGTTTTCTTTTTCTTTCTTTTGCGTGGGCGGAAATCATCTTCATTTGGACTCTAGTTAAGCTAACTAATCAATTGCTTTCGTGAACGCCATGAAATCATAACAAATTTGACGTCTTAAAGCTTGTTGTCAATTTTCGATCGAATTGCAATTTTCTCTTAACCTTAACGTTTCAACATATACAATAGAAAAAAGTTGGCATTTTTCGCGGAAGGAATGCGTTCAATTTCATAAGCAACATCCCATGAAAAACATCTCATTTCAAATATTTCCCACCCCCTCGTAATTCTCCGTTCAGCGAGGACAACAACAATCATCACAACAAGTAAAACAGTAGCAACAATCAGAATCACCACAGCAGCCCCGAAGATCCCCGGCCAGTGGGGGCAAGGTGCCCTCCACCAGCTTCCCCGCGTATCATTGCTTTGGGTTCTTTCGTTCGACGACGGTGGCGGTGGTGGCTGCGTCGGTAGTTCCGTCAACCGCCTTTTGGATAGAGCCTGCACCGCCGCCACCTCGTGTCTTCTTCTCACAAGTTCACAAGTGTCCCCCCGGGGTGTGGTGCGAGAAGAGGCCCAAGTGTTCAAACGGATGATGGTGGTGGTGGTGGTGATGCAGGGGGTGGCACGAGGACAACAAAGGATGATGATGATGGTGGAGGGCGGCGGCGGCTGCAGCTGCTGCCGCGGCCGCAGCCGATGCCGGATGGTGGAGGGCCGCAGCCGAGGATGAGGAGGAATGATTACCGGCGGAGTGGGTATGGTGAGGATGGTGGTGATGTCCACCGGCGGAAGCGGCGGCCGCGGCAGCTGCACCGCTAACACTGGCCGCCGCCGCCAGGTGGGCGTGCAGTGTGGCCAGATTTAGGTTACCTGTGGGGTACGGTAGTCCAAAGCTCGGATAGCCGGAGAAGCCACGACCGGCTGCGTACGCAGCGTATGCGGCGGCGGGGAAACCTGCAGCGGGAGAGATGGGAAGAGAGAAAGAGAAGAACAGACGGAAATGGTTAGTTCGTTCGTTTTCTGCATATGTAGTTTGTTTGAGTGAGATGATAGGAAGAGTGGAAAGAGACCGTGAAAAGGAATCATTTTATGTGTTTTCAATCATTAGTTTTTTTTTTTAGTTCATATGCTTGTTTGCTGACGGCAGAATCTGCTAGTAAGCTAGTTTTACATAATACAATCTTAAATATGGTTAGCTTGTCACAATATGTACTTTTGATTTTCATCTAACATCAGTAATTTTTGCCTAACTAGTATACAATTGCTTGAATGACTTATTCTTAGCTAGTAGGGTGTGTTTTTAACGTAGTGATAGGGTTAATGTCCCTAATGTCAACCACATTGCTAATAATGTTGGGCACATTCTTAAATTTCAGGGGAAGCATTTTTTGTCAATCTTCCACTAGATACCAAAAATATCCATTTGTATTATCCGGATGATGTATTGTTCAAATAAAAATATAAGAACAGGAGATTTGTATCGAAAGGCCCAATCTGTAGGCCAACATTAGAGCCATTTCTCCTACAATACATTTCTCACGTAGGTAACTTGTCTTTCACTGAAACCCAGTACGATTTTTTAACTTAAATACCACTGAGATGATTCCACAATCACTAAAGCTAAATTCTTAAATCTGTTGATATAATTATGTGATCTGAAAGGAAAGAAAGTTAGGCCGTGAATGGACCCAGTTATCTTACGAAAATGATAAAATATATCAATGTATTTTTGTTTTCTGGATGTCAAACTATTTCAATGAGTAAAAATGTGTGCAATTCAATCAATTGAATATTTTAATTTCAGTTTGCTTAAATTTGAGCTGACGAGTTTTGCTGAAAATGTATACTAGGTATTAAACAGAATCAAAAAATAAAATAATTGCGTACATAGGGGAAATGGCTCTAATGTTGGCCTATGGATCTAAGATTAGGCCCATCGCTAAAAATCTGCTGTTTATCATTTTTATCTAGATGAACACGCCATTGGGACGGTACTAATGGATATTTTTGGTCGCATCCATTTCTCCTATATTAGATTTCAATCGTTATAAACATGGGCTTTATGTGTACAATATTTAACTACTGTCATACAAAATTATCTAGCCATCTAAGACTTAACATCGTTATGATAATTCAATCAATACTTATTAAATACTAGGACTGAAAGGCTCCGTTACCTAAAATGAATCATCAATAGGAGGATGGTCTATGGAACAAAAAATTTGATATGCAGTAAGATCTCGATTTTGGCAATTCTAAGCTCCTGCTTTTTTTTCTTGCCTTTCATAGGGTTTGTTATACAGCCATTTCTTAGCAAAACGATACAGTGGTTCTCAAATTTTCGTTAAAATTGGTAGTTTTGTTCCTTATCGCAAAATATTAAACCGGTATTTTTTTAATTTTGTCATTAGGGTAACCATTTCCATGATAGGGTGGCCAAAAAATCGAGTTTTTTCAAAAATGCACCTGATTTCAAAGGTCAAAACATCAAATGAAAGGTAATCAAAAATACTTTTTTATAATAGCAATAAAAAAAAATGGGATTTTGTGTTGAAAAACATTGATTGTACTTTTTTTTTATATTTTTCCTTGAAAATGTAGGATTTTTTACACAACATATCAAACAATTAGTTTCCGAATTTTAGGTCCTCGCTCAATTCTCCGTCTATCGGCATGAGATTTCAGGAGCAACTAAAATTCGTTGGTTTAGCTGGTGAGCTAGTGAACTAGCTTTAGTTTAAGGTGATTCCTTGTAGAGTCCACAAATGGCCACCACGTAAGCTATACATGCTCTTCCGCTTCGAATTTTCATGCACAAGAAATCTCGGCAATTAATGCCCCATTTCACATGAAATAGCTACTTAATGTATGCTGCAGTACAGCAAACGTGGAGTAACAGTTTCATTGTGGTACGTATTGTAGAAGCGGATATTTGTGCACTTAAAGTTTCTAAGTGGAAACGAGAATAAGGATCTCACAGCGAAACACCTTAAACAGCCCACCTCCAAAAATGGCTATCAAAGATTCGATATTGTCTACAAAGTAAGTATTTTCGAGGGAGACTGGGATGACCCATTTATGAGTATTTGTTACTCACAAATGAATACTTACTACTCAGTTTTGTAGCTGTAATTACTCATAAATGGGTAAAATTTTTCTTATTTAATGGGTAGTCTCAGTTTCCCTCGAAAATGGTTACTTTGTAGTCATTATTGGGTATTTTGCGGTTACCGTGAAGTTTTTTTTTTTTAAGGCGTAAAGGCTCTTTTGATGCACCACTCAACGTTGGGTTTTTTTTTCCTTGATTTGTTTTCCGTCGATATTGTTTTCCGTACTGAGTACCAATGCTACCGACGCCAGGGAGGCAGCTCCCATATACCTGGACCCTATTTTATCGACCCATCAACTCATGAATCTAGAACCAACGGCTTTACTTTCCACTTAGGCGTGATCACAGATGTTATTCCTCAGAAAATCCCGGCGGCGCCGACTGGGATTGAACCCAGGCCTTTTAAGGTGAGAGGCAATCACGCTTACCACTACACCACCAGCTTTAAAATTGGGTTCCCACACTTGGGTAACGATTTCAAAAATTCCAAATAATATATATTTTTTGACGCATCTGGCAAATTTCCATGGTCTTATTTTTGAACTGTCTACAGATCTAAGCTGATTTACAGTTCAAATAACCTCACATTAAAAATCCGGGAGATCATAACCGCTGGGACACCAGCTGGATTACTGCAAAATCGGTACAGAAAACAAAATATCCCACGTGGACGTCGATTTCAAGCACCTTTTTTTATTATGCGTTTATTTTTCTAGGCTCATTTGCTGTTTTTCAAGCACCTGCGGTTGATAACATAATCAAGAAAGGTGAACATATTTTCCTCTTTCACAGCAAAACATTCCGCCAACATCATTATTTTGAGGGTTCCTCCATTCACCTCCAGAATCTAAAACGATAGCTTAGTTTCGAATGAATTTGTCTATCGAGAAGACCATCGACTTTTCAAAGTATCTATCAGATTCACATGATTTTTTTTTAGTTTTAAGATTTTGAGATTTGAAGCAACTTTGCATACCTGTTTTCCTTTAAAAAGAAAATCCACTTGTTTGAAGCCGTTTGAAAAGAACTGAGCGTATTTAATTTTTCAAGAACAATCAATTTAAAAAAATATGATATCTTCAAACATTGTTTCAAAGAGTGAATTGAAGAAAACTGATTAAATTGCATTGAAAAACATAAATTGTCATTCCCACACTGAAAAAAAAAAATTAAAATTTACATTGAGAGGAAGTTTACTTGTCCGAAAAAAATATATTACGTTATGATTCTCAAAAAAAAAAATAGGGAAAAGATATCAAAAATGAATAAAAATATAAATTTTTATCTAATATATAAAAAAATCACGTTCAACAACAGTTTTTGTAAGTCATCATGGCATAAAGTTGGACGCAAAAACCACAAAAGATCGACCTTTCGGTTTTGCTGAGGGTCCAATTTTGTTTCATAATGAGATAGAAACATGTAAATTTTCTTAGAAATCTATGCAAAAAACCGTTTTTCTTGGATTCTCGATAATTTTTTCCCCCAAGAATTCTAGAAAAATAAAAACGCGCCGAAAAAAATGTTTCGGTATGGTAAACTGATCCCAACTAACTAACGAACCAATTTTATCTCAAAACATTTTTTTTAATAATGAAAAATATGCAACAAATGCAACTTAATTACCAAAAGGTCTTTCTCAAATTAACAAAACAATTTTCTAACCACACCTATTTCTTGCCTACCTTGAAACAAATATAAATAGATTAATTTTATCCAGCCTCTTCTCAAATTAACTCTTCGGGCACGAAACCAAAAGTTTATTTTTTTTTTTCAATGGATTTCTAATATTTATACAATGTTGGACGGGATATTATTTTCCCTTTCTTTTGGTTTAATTTATCATGTCACTTGGTGGTTGGTACGATTGTTAGTTCAGTTTTTGTCGAGTCGATAGACAATCCTTTAGAGCTGAATGATTTCTCCTTGCATAGTTTTCTCTAAAAGCTAATAAAAATATCTTGTAGAATGCTGCAGAGTTAAATTTTGAATTTCACTACTGAACGAATAATGATGCCTGACAATTTTTATTCAAAAATAAAAATTTGTATTTTACGGGGCAATGACAAAACTAGGTACACAGGTATATCAGCTCATATAAAGTTATGAGAGATTTAATGTCGCATTACAAATATTGTATGCAACGGTCCGTCTTTGTAAGCAATGTTTCTTGAAAGTTATTAGTTTGCTAGATATACATCACCAAATCAAATTTGTTTGTACTTAGCCTTAATTATGTGCTTTAGCCTTAAATTTCTAATTGTTAAAAGCAAATTAATTGGCAGTAGGTTCAATATCATTTTCCCCAAATTTCGCGTGACGTACAATACATGCTCCCTTATATCAGCAGCACTAGGCACAGTGGGACGTAATCAAAAAAAGATAGACATGGCCAATTGCATCGAAACTATTGAGTGTAGCATTTTGATGCCTTCTAATTTTCTTTTAAATTTGAGTTCTTTATTTGAGTGGTGGAAATTTTTGATTAAGAGGGGTGCATACCCAGATAAAACAAAAATATGTCTTGTTAAAAGCAATGGACATCCATGGAAACATTGTAGATAAAATCATTTTAAGAAACGTTGTCCCATACGACAATTTATTATCTCTCAACTGGACGAAGTCATAGGGTTAAAAAAGGAGTGCAGGCGATAGTATTCCCTTAAAACCTGCTTTTTTACAGCAGATGTTTTTTTTTGAGTTTTCAATTTTTTCAATGTTCTACAAAATAGTAATTGCATTGAGAATGCACATTTTTGCTGAAAAAAACAAATAGGTATCTCTTCGTTTTAAGGAATAACGTCAGTTTTAAGATTGTTTGAAAAGTAATTTTTAAGTTTCTACA